CCTCAGCCACAGAGTGCCATCTGTGCTGCCCACACTCCTAGGTCCTGGGTTACCATTTCTTGTCATTTTAAATCTGAGCTGAGCCAACTTAACCTAACCCCACCCCATTCCCAAAAAGACTAAAATTTGCTTTTCTTCGCTGTCTCAGAGGCCTTTATCTATGGCCTGTCTCAATGAGGTCCCCATAAGTCCCTGCAGGGCACCAAGACAAAACACGACCTCAGATACGTGAGCAGAGGGAACGAGGTGAGTGGGGTGGGTCAGGCCTGGTCAGTGCGGGCTCTCCATGTCCCCCATGCCCTCCAGACCTGGGACCAGGAGTGGCCAGTGTGGTCAACCGGATGCAATGCCTGGGCTCAGAGTGTCCACGGGGTGAAACAGCCATCACTGGGAGAGGAGGGGAATCTGAGAGAGGCCTGGCCTGGGGCCTCATGGTGACCCTACCCTGGCCGACACGGCACTCTGCTGCTTTTAGTAACGTTTCTCCAAATCAGGGCGGACAAGAAGCCAAGGGATAATCCAGTAAGGGTGACAGGTAACTCGGTGTCACCCTTTTCACCAGGCAGGCCATGGGTTTGTACCTTCACCATCCCCTCCCTTTCCAGTCAGGAAGCAGGCTCTGCATCCCACAGGCTAGTCATGGGGCAGCTGGTTCCCCAGGTAGCTCCAAGGGGTCCTCCGGACCCGACCACTGGCCTCACCTCGTGGTCACATGTGGCCCGGACCCTGACAGCCAGGACATGTGTGCATGGTCATGGGGCAGGACCTGGGCCAGGCAGTGGCCAGACAGAGAGGAGGGCGGAGCTGAGTCCGGGGAACAACCTCCACTGCTGTCGAAGATGTTCTTGCACTTTCCTGGTAGAAAGAGAGGTAACGCAGAGGAGGAATCCCACAGGAAATGGAACCTGGTGACATTTCGGAGTGTCCTCACCGGAGTGGAGATGGAGGGGCCATGGGGGAGTCCCTGAGCCTGGACTCGGGGGTTCCTCATGCTGGACATGGCCCACGAAGCCCAGGCTGTGGTCCCTCAGGGTGGACATCACATCTGTCCCTGATGGTGTGGCTGGTAATGCAGACCATTTGGGGCATCGACAGGCAGGGCTGGCCCTGCGGGGGTGGTGACGGCCACAGAAGGTCAGGAGTCCGAGCCTTGTTACGTCCCAGAGTCGCCCTGAAACATTCTGGGCCAGGAAACTCTCCCAGGGTGAGCCAACTGGGGAGGGGTGACCAGGCCCCACAGCCTGGGGCATGAGAGCATCTTTGTCCCCACCTGCTGGGGGGTTGGGCAGGCTTAGTCCCGTCTGTCTGGGACTAGCTGCCCCTACCTCTCCGTGACGCCATCAAACAGCTTCACGTCCCCTGAGCCCTGGCCGTGCCCAGGCCCTGTCGGCCACTGGTTCTTGCTGGCGCTTGGTGACCAACAGTCCTGATTTTCTGGGACTGACGGGTTTCTGGGATGTGGGATTCTAAGAGCTAAAACCAGAAAGGTTGCAGGCAAACTGGAATGAGTTGGTCAAGGTCGGTTCTGCTGACACGGGAGGGAGGAGGCCTCTGACGTGGGTGCCACCCTGGCAGGAAGCTCTGCCGCTCCTAGCCACTCAGGCATCCAGGGGACAGTGGGACCCACGAGCAGAGAGGGGCTACAAACACTGACAGTACTGGCAGGACCTGGATTCAGCTGCACCTGAATTGACAACCAGCCAACCCCATGTTTTCAAAGCCAGTTTAAACCAGTTCAGCCGGGAGTACTGATTCATACGCTCTCCAAATGCACGTGTTGGGCAATGGCACAGAGCGAGGTCAGCACCAAATCTGAAAGCCAGATTTGGGCTTTGTGAGAATGTTCCTCGAGGCTTCGAGGCTTCCAGATCCTATCTGGACCTTTCCCCTTGTCACTTTGTCTGTCCTGGCTCAGACCCGCTCCATCCAGCTGACCCTTCCCTGTGATGGCTCCAGCAAGGGCCCCACGTGGACTCCACGTAGGCAGCTTTTCTCCCTGGCTGCCCCGGCAGCTCCCTCACAGTCTCCCCACCCCAGCCCCTCCCTCAGGGCCTTCACACCACTCAAGCATTCAGCTATTATTAGTCTGTTTTGAAGGTGAGGACATGAAGCTGAAGGGAGGCTGTGATGCGCTGGTATCTGCATTACACCCTGGTGTCCCCACAGTACTCCATGTGGACCAGGAACTGGCTGCCGCTGCCCTGGGTCAAGATGATACAGGGGTGTTCAGTGGTCAGAGAAGGCCTTTCTCCACAGCCAGGCCACTCCAGGCTACTCCAGGGTGGTAGGTCTGAGGCAGGATCTAGAAGGCCATGCAGAAGCCGGGCAGCTCCCAGCTCACCAGGGGGCAGCCAAAGGCATCTCAGAGGCACTGCAGTGGCTGCCGGTGCCTCCCTAGGCTCCAGGGGGAGTGAAGGGCCCACTGGCTGAGAGGTGAGGCCAAAAACCCTTCACCTGTTCAAGGCTTTGTGGTTTGGGCCCTGCACAGCTCCATAAAGACCCCATGCAACTTCCTTCACTTGGCCCTCTGCAAATCACTGAGTCTCACCAGCCCAGCAAACAGCCAACAGCCAGATCCCAGTGCCAGGAAACCTGAAACTCAGGTTTCCTGCCACCAGCACAGAGTTTATCAGCAGTGCCTCTAACTCCATTTAACAGATCTCCACACATTTGTGGATCTTCTCAGGAGAAAACTCTGACTTGTCTTTCAGCCAATCTGCGGTAGGCAAGCAGAGGACAGACGGAGCTCCCTCAGTGGGCTGGTTGCAAACTTGCGATTTGTTGAATCACTGGTTGGATCACCAATTGTTAGACTGGGACAGACTGGCCAGAGCCAGTGTTTCGGGGCCGATTCTTTCTTCCCAAGTCTGGCAATGCTCAGTATTGCTGGTTATTATTTCTTGTTTTTCTGTATCATTAGTTCAGGAAGCTCAACAGTCATGCCAACAAGCACAATGGGCAATGTAAAAACGCCAGACGTGTCCTCAAAAGACAAGATTTGCCCTAAAATACTCTTGCATTTGAGTGTTTGTTTTAAAAAAATTAAACACGCTCCTATTTGCTTAGGGCTCCGTCCATTTTAACAGATTTTTTAAACTTTGCAGTATGTACCAAAGCGATGCCAAGTCCCCTTACAGAGAGATCTCCCCGCTTGGGAAAGATAAAAGAGTCACGGACATCGGTGACCAGTGAGAGGGCTCAGCTCAGGGAGGGAGTCCACACAAACTGTGGTTTTGATGATGTTCCGCTCACTTGTCCTGGGCAGTGGAACCAGGGCAGGGATGTGAGAGAAGAGCCCCCACCCAGCTGCCAACGTGGGTCCCAGGAGGGGACCGCATGACCTCAGAGGTGTCATATAGTCCAGTTCTAAGAGGAGCTGGAATCCAGACACTGTGGGACTCCTGAGAAGCTGGATGTGGCTGGGTGGGGGTGGGGGGTTGCAGCCGTGTCCACAGACTTGGAACCGCACCACGTGAATTCCGGGAGAGCCTGAATTATCACCTGACTTTACTGTCCATCCTGATCAAAATAACCAGCCGTTTATCCAGACAGAATACACCTGGTGTTTGGCAATTTCTACACTGACCATGTGAAATTTTGAGTTATTTGATAACATTATTAGGACTCTAACTAGATCCAGCGTAGACACCATCTCCTGTTCTAGATTTCATTATGGGTAGACTGTCCCGCACGCATTCATTCATTCTTTCCTTCCTTCCTGAGCATGTACCCTCCTCTGTGCTCTTCTGGGTCAGAGGCTCCTGTGAACAGCTGAGCAGTGTCTTCACGGACCTACCTTCCCAGAGTGAGCGAAGCAACATGGGGATTTCAGGGATTCTGGTGAGAGGGGCGCAGGGCTGTGCGCTCCGCCCGGGATGGGCACTCTGCTCCCCACTGGGCTGAGGGCTGACGTGCCCTGGATGCAGGTGTGCAGAGCCAGCCGGGGCCTCCCTCAGGCCCCCCTTGGGCCCGCTTGGGAACCAGCTCCCTCACTTCTCAGCCTCCGCGTCCTGGCCCTGCATCGGCAGCCGGCTCACGTGGCCTCTGGACTCTGCCAGCCGCAGGGAGTTGGCAGTGGACAAAAAGACTGTCCCTGCCCCCACTGAGGCGACAACTTAGGGGGAGACAGTGCCGTGAGCACTTAGCGGGAGGATCTCTGAGGAAGTGAGCCGTGGGGAAGGCCGTAGAATGTGAAAAGATAAAAGTGTGTCAGTGTTTGTACTCGCCCCCTCATGCTGGGGCTTTATGCATTGACTTTCCTCACTGCCTTTCATAGCCTGCGACTCCTCAAGCTGGTGGGTCCAGGGCCAGGTCCTTGGAGGGGAGGGGGGTTTGTGAGGGCAGGACGCTGCCCAGAACCATGAAGGGGTCAGAGGTTTCCCTTCACTTCAAGCTAAGAGGATGGCTGGCCGGCCACATTCTCCAGGTGCTGACCGAAAACACAGGCTCCTGGGGTAGAGTGAAGCAGTTATAACTCACAGTAAAAGCAGTGGCCAGAGGGTCAGGGTCCGCGTGTGTGCGTGGGTTCCCAGAGTCCCCACTCCCCGGGGGTGACACGACAGGGCCCAGACAGATGCTGCACGCCCAGACAGATGCTGCACGTCCGCCCTTCCTCCTGGAGGGCACCATGACCTCATTCCTCAAGGCTGCTCACAAAACAGTCCAGGTAACAGGGTGCCCAGCTGAGTGGGGAGGAGCACGGGAGACCCATGCAGAGTGTCTCGTGACAACGTCCATTTAAGGAAGCTTTGAGATCCAGCCTCAGGTCTCAGGGTCAGGGAGGCAGTGCTGAGGGCCAGGCAATGGCTGTCCCCAATTCACATACAGGCCACTGATTCCTTGGTGGCTGCTGGATGCTGTTCCCTCATCAGTGGGTCAGGGTCCAGTCTGCCTCTTGGGCCTGGTGACCTGTGAGTGGGCAGCATCCCCGTGTGGGTCAGTCCTAGGAGGCGGAAGGCCCGGCACGGGCTGAGGGAATGGATGGCTCCTCACAGGGAGGGATGGCTGGCGTTTCCCTCCTTGCATCTTCCAGACTCTCACTGTGCCCCATAAAAGGGGAAAGCTGGTGCTGGACCCCGCCCCACGACGCACCCCACTTCTAAGGCAGCCTGAGGCAGCTTCCTCACTAACCATCTGGCCAGGCCCCATTGGCCCCGGCTTTGACAGTGACACCAGCGGCACTGGCTGGTGGCCCCTAACACCTCTGGTGTCCCCACTCCTCCTCCAAGTTCTATCAGATGTGAATTTATCCAAGCCCTTTCTCCCACAGATGACATCTTCCTGTTAATATCTCGGAGGAAGATGTCTGACTGGCCTCTCCTGGCCTTTTACCAGACACCGTCCGACTCACGGACAGGAGTTCAGGCGCTAACACCCTGTGCTGTGCACGCAGCTCCCACAGGCACCTGGCACCCCCCTGTGAGTCACCCCAAATTGGAAGAGCAGTTGCTTAAATCACTTCAGAATATGATCCACGGGTGCTAACTGTACAATGTGGTGGCTGGAGGTGATGCTATTTTGAGTTTCCATTTGCCTTCCTGATCACACATCAGGCTCCTCTGGCCCTTTGATCAGCCCTTCCCACCCTCTTGGTCCTGACTCTGAGTCGAGCCAGGGCCGCTGCACACCTGGCCTGCAATGTGCTGTGCACCCCCGTGCTGGGATCCTGAAGTCACCACCCTGAAGTGCAGGGGAGGTAAGGCTTCTGTCCCTCACACTCAGGTGGACAGGTCTCCAGGGCTCTGGGAAGTCCAAGGGTTCAGCTCCAATTGCCCATGATGGAGGCCCCCACAAGGCATCATGCTGGTCCCGGACTCGCTCCTCCCCTACCTCACTCCCCTGCCCCAGCTTCCTGGGAACAAAAACCCTCACTGCAAAGACCCTGACTCAGTCTCTGCTTTCTGGGCTAAGGGGGTGGGCACCCAGGCCAGGACAAACATTCTATGTGATACTTGAATGGTCCCATCAAATCCACACCAAACGTTTGCCCAGCTGTTAACTGAATGCTTCCTGTGATGGAAACTTCATTATTTCCCAAGGCTGGTAAGAAGCCCAGCTCCAGCTTCTTCTCAACACAGTGAGTCTCAACTAGCCTTTACACAAATGAGAACGTAGAAAACAGGACACTGGTGCACATCACACAGTCACACAGCTGGTTGCTCCCTCGTGCATGGATTCACTATCAGGGCACTACGGCCACCACAGGCAGCCCGTCTCCGACAGTCCAAGTGCACCGTCATCCATGGTGCCGGATGGCTCCTGATCTCCCAGCAGCATCACTGCGCAGTGGAGGTCCAGCTGCAGCTTTGTTGGGGTTCATCCCATCAGGAAACTTGGACAGGACACTTGCTCGGAGGTCTTGCAGTGTGGGCTGTAGGGGAACGTCCAGCTGCTGGCATTCAAGCTTGACCTCACCCTTCACGGGTGCACCCAGGGCAGACTCATTCTGGCTTTGGGCCCAGTGTGGCCGAGTCCAGACCTATGCCCATCTTTGCTTCCTATACCCACATTGTAAGAGGGCTGTTGGCATTTTAAAATTTGGAGGCCTTGGCAGTTGGCACTGAGTTTTCTGAATACAACCAGGATTCACCAACAGTCTGCAGAAACATTTAAAAATAAAGAAAAATGTCAGTCACTGGGTGAGTCAAGAGCTGTGGGAGACCTGCATCACTTCCTCTCCAGGGGCCCATGACTTTGTCACCTCCTCATCCTACCCCACATCCTCCCTATGTCTGTGTCCCTCTGGAGTGATGGTGTCAGGCCCCATAGTCTGGTCCCTCTGTTGAGAATGTTCCTACCGTGAAGAGAAGAATCTCAGCAAACCCTGCACTTCTGAAGTGCCTCTTGGCACTCTGAATGTTTGCAAAAAGCAGACTCTAGCCAAATTTTTATTAGGGGGAAGGCAGTGAAAAGCAAACTTCTGGCAGCAGGAGATGTACAGGAAGCAAGACAGGAGTAGCCAAGCCCAATTCCGATAGCATGTGCTGTGGAGGTGCCAGACGCCGTGGGGACCCCTTATCTCTTCCTCCCACTGATTACTGAGGCAGTCCAGCTCCAAAGCCCACAGCACATTCTGGAAGCTATCAAGCGGCTTTTTACCTAGTCCCTTAAAATGAAACTATTCCTAATACACCAACCCCTGGAGCACATCAAGTCCTTGGAAACAAATTCTCAGATTGTTTTTGTGCCTTATCCTTTGTAGATAGGATGCATTTTTACTCATCTGACCTAAGCGTTTCAATCTGTGCAACAGGCTTTGAAAATACTGATGCAGTTTAAGGAAAAATGACATTTGAAGTGATGCTTACGAGACATGAAACAGAAGTTCGGCTTTATCATAATTGCTACTTTGTAGAATGATTTGCATTTAACATTAGTTTGGGGCGGTAAAGGCTATGACGTGCTCACTGACCCAGATGGGTCGGGGCACCCGCGTGACAGGAGGTCCCCTCGGCCCCCGGGCGGCACGGGCCCCGGGGCCCGGTGCTCCACAGGGGTCCGCTCAGGCGTCCCGTCGCCAGTGCAGGGGACCATCACCTGCTCTTCACACAGAACATTTCCTGGTCAGAGAAGGGACACACGTGGGAAGGCGTAGCCACCGGGACAGCGCAGCGTCTTCCCACAAACCCCACCTTCTGCACAACCCAGTAACTCCTGTAACACTTGCTTCACTGCGGACCTCTGAGCATATCAGATGAGGTCCCTCGGGGCGGGGGTGGGGGCAGGGCGTGTGCGTGTGCGTGTGGCAGTGGCGGGGTGAAGGGTGGAGGGAGCTGTGCCTGTGGCTGTGGCTGAACTGTCCTTCCGCCGCTCTAGGCCGCGCCTCTCCACTGTCTGCAGGTCCCCGCTGGATCGACGTCCCTCTGCGCCAATCGGAGGCGCCCGGCCTCGGCCCCGCCTCCCGGTGGACCGCCCGCGCACGCGCCGTAGGCCGAAGTGGGCGGGGCAGCCCGAGGAGCGCGCGCCATGCAGGCCAGCGGGTACACGGCTGCCGCCGCCCTCGGCCAGGCCCGCGCCCCCGTCCAAGTGGTAGGTGCTGGGCTGGCGGGGGGGGG